TGAGGTGTGAAGGCGATCCTCGGTCTTGCTGATAGTCAGCTGTAGAAAGTTAGCTCTCAGCCAGGAATTGATGTCTGACAGACATTCTGTCAGAACAGCAGTGGTCCTGGAGCTCGAGGGTGGAGGCAGAGAGGTAGAGTTGGGTATTATCCACATACATGTGGAAGTTGACCCCCATGTCTGTGGATGATGTCACATCATGATGGAGCATGTACAGGTTGAAGAGGAGGGGACCGAGGACAGAGCCCTGAGGAAAACCGCATGATATGGGGCAGGGGCTGGAGGAGAAGCCATTTATGGAGACAAAGTGGAGCCTGTGTGAGAGATAGGACTTGAATCATTCAACAAAATTACATTTGTAAAGTACCTTTCATGTCGGGAGGAAGTCCCAAGGTGCTGGTCAGACAGAGTTTCGGACTCGAGCTGGGGAGGGCAAGGAGGAAGAAAGCAAGGTCGAAGAGGAGGGTCTTGAGATGGGTCTTGAAGGGGGCGAGGGAGGGAGCCAAGCGGAGGGACTCCGGAATGGAGTTCAAGAGGGTGGGGGCAGAGTGGCAGAAGACCTGCCTGCCAATAGTGGAGCGAGTCAGGCGGGGGATGTAAAGCAGGCTGGACCCCGCTGAGTAAAAGGAGCGAGCAAGATGATAGGGGTTTAGGAGGTCGCAGAGGCAGGGGGGAGCAAGACCATGGAAGGCTTTGAAGGTGAGGATCAGGATCTTGAACTGTATCCTCTGTGTGATGGGAAGAACTTTGAAGGTTGAGGTGAAAGGAGGTGATGGAGGAGAATAGACTAGTCCCAATGTCGAGGCGTCTCAAAGACGTGATAAGACACTGTACCAAATGCAAGGATTATTATTATATTATTACTGCTAGGTAAACAGAGGCATGTGGAATAGGGAACTGGCCTATGGTTTCGCCCCACCGGGAATCGAACCCAGATCCTCTCACTTGCTAGGTGAGCGGGAGTTTGAAGATGAGCATGTTTGAGAGTGATGGTATTGACCTTCCCCTATGTCATGCCTCACAGTGTCTGGGAACCATCCAGCTCGAGAAATCCGCAATCATGTTCGTAGCTTACTTGAGGATGGAGGTGCCTTTTTTATACACAATCTTTTCCAAAGGCTGCTTTGCTGAATGTGAGCAATTGAGAATGTGTTCTGTATTATAAGATGGAATATTGTATACAGCAGCCGGCCAGCGATGCGTGGCTTGTTAATCGGGAGCTGTTATATTCATGGTTCAAGTGTTGCCGTGGAAACGACTGCTAGTTTACACTACAGAAAGGGGGCTGCTGTTTTATGGGCACAATTCGTAGCTGAACCACTAATCTATTATTGCAATAACAGATGTAAGTGCTTCAAATAATGTCAATTAAACAGAGCTTTATTTCGTCTGGTTACGGGAGGATCCGATGCTTTGTGCTGAGTGCTGATTACGTTTCGTACAAACTGCTGTCGGTGCCATAGCTTCACAAACAGGATTATCTCCTGCCATTGCGTTCCAGTGTCCCCCTGAAGCAGCATGACTTTGAGCTTACAGTCTAGGCTGACACTTCAGTGCAATGCTGGGAGCTTGGCACTGTCAGACCTGCCGTCCTTCAGCCTGTTCAGGTCATCAAAGGTCTGTGACACTACTTGAACAGAGATGGGAGTTTCTCCAGGTATCCTGCACCCCCCACCCATAATTGATCATTCATGTCATTGGCTGTTTCCGGGAAAAACTGTGTATAAATTGACTGATGTGTTCGCCTACAAAATACAGTCATCACACTTTACAGAAATCTCTGTGAAGTCTTTGAGACACTTTGATGTTGCAGGCACTGTATCAAATGCAAGAATTATTGTATAAATGGAGCAATTTACTCTCTTTAACAACAGAAGAAATAGGCCAATGCTTCCAATCTGGGCTCTGTTAGATCAGTAGAAGTGTTAGTAATGGGAATGACTAAGGATTCCAGCACACTCTGTTGTCCCCCCAAACCTTGACTCTTGCCAACCTGCGCCTAATACTTTCCAGAATTAGGTAAGCAGGATGTGTGCCTCTAGGGAGAGAGAGAGAGAGTGCATTCCATTCCAACAATCTATCTCTGCGATTTCCATGTGTAGGTGGGATATATGGAAACCTTAGTTTGGTTTGGAGACATTTAAGCATGGTGATGGGTTTCCACATGTGTCAGACACCCGGCTGAGCAACAAAAAATGACTAAGAAAGGAGTTGGTTCCCTCCTTTGGCTCAGATAATGAAGCACTGACCAGGGGGAACCTGTAGCCACTAAATAATAATAATAATCCTTGCATTTGATATAGCGCTTTTCACGTCGGGAGGACGTCCCAAAGCACTTCACAGAACACACTGTAAAGTGAATTGACTGTATATTTGTGGGCGAACGCGGCAGCCAATTGCACACAGCAATGTCCCACAAACAGTCATAGATTGAAAATGACCAATTTATTATTGTTTTTGGTTTTGGAGGGATTATTATTAGGCTCTGTGTGGAGTAAGG